ACTCAATCCGCATCCTCTCTTTGGTGCAGTTTGGCCTATGATCTTTGGACATGTCTATAACCCTTCCATGACGGGACAAGACAGCTCGGCAATCTCCAGCATTGGCTACAAGTAGAGACCTGTACAAAAGATTGAATAGGGAAATACTATATGAGCAACAATTAAATGAGAAAAAATGATGCAACAAACATGTATATCTATTGCATTACATGAAATTTCGTATGCCTTAAGGTTTGTTTATAAATAATTTACCCATATTAAAAAACCAGCCAACACTGAAATAGGTGCTATAATAAAACAATTAAACAGGATAGGATATGCATGTTTGGATTAGCTTATTTTGGCATATTCTGCAACTTAGAACAATTAGTGGAGAGAGGGGATACAAAGTGAGCACAGACACAAGAATAAATCAAAAAAGTAAAGTGATAGTGTTGATATTAGACACCACATTTCACTTGAATGTCAATGTGCCACTTGGAAAGGTCACCATACAAATGTGGGAGGGAAAATTCATCCCACGGTTCTTAAGACCAAAGACCAGTGGAAACAAGTGCTCACCTTCCAAATATAAATGCAGTTAGCGAAGTTGTACGAGAAGAAAGGGAACATTCACAAGAGGATGTCTTTGCAAATGCTTTATCAGTCTCCAAAAATGACCTTTTGACCACCTTCTCTAGTTCCAAAGGAAAGTTAACATCCTCAACGATAATTCTTGGCAGATGATCACGGACAAATTGTGCAGCACTCTTCCCTCCATGTCCATCAAATACCTTCACATTAAACAATTTTCCTTTTACATATCCTATGCAAAATGATTAAAAGATGTGCATCCTCTTGAGTCATTATTTTACTCACATCTTGTCAAGTCAGACTTTAAAATGTGTATCCTTTTATAGTGATGGATCAAGAATGTTTAAAGCAGACATGTATTATTACAAAATAAAATATCTGTAGAAGAGTTAAACTAAAATTCATGACAAAAGGGCAATTAGCATAATGGGATAGATGGCTTACCCCATAAAAGGAAACAGCCTCCTCAGAGTGTATGTTACAATTAAACTTTTTTGCCAAATCTCCAATGCATATGTGAGTATCCTCCATGTAAGGGTGTTCTCCAATATCGGACCACTCTCCCGACCGTAGATCAGGGACATAATTCATCAGGTTCTGTTTCTTGTCTGCAACCACTGCATCCTCACCTATGCTTTCCAGGTAAATGTGCCACAGTAGAAAAAGGGAGTTGAGTTGATATGGTAGTAGTACTAAGCAGTGAAGAAGAAGATGCTAACAAAAAAAAAAACACTCCCCGTTAAACCCGACTAGCGATCGTGGGATAGAAACATAATTGCAAAGAGGCTGTTTTCTGGAAATGAACTCATGACTTTTCAATCATGAAAGAACAGTTTTACTAGTGTTCCAGTTCGTCCCCTTTAAAAAGATGCTAACCAAACTCAATAAAAAAAAAGGGAGAGAAATGACAGACTCCCAGATAATACACAAGATACAATATGATGTCATATCCATAAGGGTATAACTAAGGAGAACACCCACAAATTATGCTCATAACAATCAAATAAAAAGATGAATACAACAATAAAGGAAGGAAATTTAATTGCCAGCAATGCAATCTGATTGAGTTGAAAAATAATGTCAAACAACACAAAAGTTGAGCTAAACAGAATATTGGAATTGAAAAGAGCAATTGTCTCTGTTCTCAATTATGATTTTCAGATCAAATTAGAGTTCAACAACCCTCAATGGAAGTCTTAAACATAAAAAAGCAACAATGAGAATGATCAACAACCCTGTGCACGGATGAAAATCAATGTCAAATGCAAAACAATCATTAGAAGAGAATCTATGTCTTGACAAAAGAACAAGAAAAAAAATAAAAACTAAAGAAGATGAGGAAAACACTTTCCATGCCAACTAAAAACATAATTGAGTTTTATTTAAAGAGTTTCTACAAAAACCATGTAAGGATAGAAGAGCAGGGAACCCAATACTTACAGGAAATGAATTTTCAATACTGATCCTTTCGCCACTTGAAGTTCTCAAAGAAGATTCCTTTTCCAAATTCTCTTTCTGGGTAAGCAAAAGCTCACCATGCAAAGGCCATAACTTTTTTGTATTGTCCATGTTGTTCATATCTTGGGCATCTTGATCAGCGTCCTGCACACACATGGCTATAACAACCGTGGGGTATTAGTGGTTCTTTGGTTCTGCAACTCGTTGATATGGAAAGCGAAGACACTTGATGCAATTTTTTAGCTTTTGCTACATAGAAGAGAGAGAAAAGAGAAGATTCTGAGAATATGTTGGAAAAAGTATATAATGATCTGTTTATAGAGTTAGTGTCAGTGAGAAAGGGAGCGAAAGAGAACTAACTTCCAGATTTTTCTATGAAAGCATGGCTGAAAATCGGTTTGGTTGGGTTACATTGTTATTTTTGTTACGCAACTTCGTATCAAAATGTTGGTAACAACTGATAATGATAACGATGTAATATTATACGGGAAAAATGTTTTTCATTTTAAATCACACAATGTTATGTTATTTTTGAATGAAACTACATTGTTTTGGTAAGTTTTTACATTTTCTCTCTTCCATTTTCTTTTTATTTTTAATTTTATAAATTAGAGAAAATGACAAACACATCAAAACGACGTAATTTCATTAAAAATGTCACAGAATTATGTTATTTAAAATGATAAATACTAAACCTGTTCTGCCCTAGGCAGATGTGTCCAATTGGGATTGGATGATTGATCTATGATTCAGGTGTCTTCTCTGGATATCTATGAATTAGGTATCTTGGGGACAGCAGATCACACATTATCTAATGGCCTTAGCCTTGGAAGAGGTGTGTGGTGTACTGTCTAGATTGCGTAAATAGGTAAAAAGAGATTGGGTCATACCTGTAGCGTTTAGCTCCTATTTATAATGCTTACCTGTGAGCCTGCGCTGATCGTGGGCCTTACTGATCACGGACCTAATTTTGGTCCATAACAAAACCCATAATATTATACGAGAAAATTGTTTTTTTGAGAATTATTTTCAATAATTTCAAAATTACGTTATTTTGGAGATTGAGAAAACTAATAAACGAAGAATATTTTAGAAATTTTAGTTTTTTTTTTTTTGGAAACAAAGTTTTAGTTGCTTTTGATTATAAGAATTTTATCAAAATACTATTCATTTATTCTCTTAATTTTCAAATGACGTAATTTTAAGATTGTTAAAAATAAATTTGTATCATGTGAGAAGAGAAATAATAAATCTATATATATATATATATATGATATTGATAATTTATTTATTTTATATATTATACAAATATTAATTTATATTTGTATACTTTTTATTATCTAATTATGATAATTTATCGCAACTTCTATATACTTTCACTTTCATTTTAACACCTTGATTAATGAGTCAAAAAGTGAATTCTTGATTATATTATTTTTAGAGAAAAATGTGTGTCACTTTTAAAGAATATAAAGTTATGTTATTTTAAGTCAGAGAAAAAGATAAATCATGAGACAGAGCACAGAAAAAATTATGAATTTTATCTTTTTGTAAGAGTAAAATAATATAAATTATGTCATTTGAAATGATAAATAATTTTTTCTATTTTTTATTACACAAAAGAAAAACGTGTATTTTTTTGTTATTATTGATGAGGACGTAAATAGGTGAGACTTTTACTTATTTAATTCACGTCTTAAAGAATATTTTTAAAATTTGAAATCTCCACCTGCCTTTAAAAATTTTCATGAAATTACTGGAACTTATTTTACGTATATTTGCGCCATCAATACAAATTTTCTTTTTTTTTTAGCCAGATAAATCAACCATAAAACATTAATTAAATTGTTTTTTTTATACCAACCATAAAACATTTGGTATCCGATTATAGTGTTGATTATTTTAAATTTGAGCCAGATAAGATCACAAAAGTATCAACGTTTTCCTTATCAAGTTGTTTGTATATTCAAAACTTGAATTCGAAATCATTAGTTAAATTGAAAAAATTTCTTAGTAATTGACTTACGTGCTTTTCTTTGTTTACGTGATCTTTTCCGGCCATTCTTAATTGTCTTCTATTCACTTGAAATGCTAGTGCTTTTATAGTTGGTAGCTGGCTAAAGCTAAATTTATAAAGAGAATAGCATCAATACTTACAATTAGCGATACATTACACGCCATACCAATTAAGGGTGTTTCTATTATGAATTGGATTGGTTTTGAACTAAAAATTATGTGATTTAATTTTTTTGGTTTGATTATTTAATTATTTATTCGGTTAGAATTTTTTTAAATCCGATTCAACTCAATCCAATTTTATTCAATTTGAATTGGATTAATTTTCAATTTTTTGAAAAGCTTAAAATTTTAACCATACAAATTACTAGTTATATCAAAATAAAATCATATAAAATTACAAATAATTAAAAAATTCAAGTCTTCTAATTAAAACAAGATTTAAAACTCATGAAAAGATAAAACAAAGTAATAGACAATAAAAAATTAAAACAATGTAGTTTTTTTTATCGTTAATATCTAAGATTCCTTGGCTTTTTCACCTTTTTACCCCTTATTAATTAATTAATAACCATTTTGCCCCTGATTCGAAACTATTTATCAATCTGCCCCTCTTTAGTCGACTACATTGCATTTTTAATCGACTAAATGACCAAAACAGACAAAAAATGGCTGCTGGGAGATTTAGTCGACTAAATCTCCCTATTTAGTCGACTAAATCTTCATATTTTACAAAAAAAAAATAAGTCAGTATGATTTTAATCGATTAAGTAGAGAGATTTAGTCGATTAAATCTCCCAACAACCGTTTAGTCGATTAAAAATGCAAGGTAGTCGATTAAAGAGGGGCAGATTGGTAGATAGTTTCGAATCAGGGGCAAAATGGTTATTAATTAATTAATAAGGGGCAAAAGGGTGAAAAAGCCAAGATTCCTTATCACAATCGTTATCTTCAATACTTCACTCCTTCAACTTGCTCAATGTTCACTCTGCGATTTTCAAAATAACCAGCAACATATTACATATCAACTTTTATGAAAATAAGAGATTAAGAGGCATTAGCGAAATTCAAAATATAATAAATGCATAATATATTGAATCGGTTTTTGTCAACCAAATAAAAAAAATGATTCAATCCAATTAAAATATACAAACTTTTTTGATTTTAGATTAATTCAATTATTAATTTTTCGATTGAATCGTTTAAAAAACATTCCTATTTCCAATAGTTCTGGTCGGAATGGTTACACTGATCTATGTTATGACAAACAAATTCAAAATAAAAAATATTAAATAAATAAATAAATAAAAACCATCTAATCCTTTGTACTATAAAACATTTCTAACGTGATAAACGAAAAAATGATTAGCATTTTATGCAGCAATGATCAATTACTGCGAATTGTATAGTCTATTGACAGCTGTAATATGTAATTGTCGGAAATCCCTGCAAGACTAATTCATTCTTTTGGGTGGTAGTAGCCTAGTAGGTGTAGCAACACTTCAACTCCATGATAGCCAGCAAAGAACCTGAATAATTTCAGGCTTTCACACCCGGCTTTCGTGAAATACTATATTTGAACACATGTTCTTTTTTTAACTAAAAAATTCTACACTTAAGGTAGGAGAAACTACCTGATTCTTTTATAAAAAAAACTCAGACTCATGATATGCATTATCCACAGTGGGAGCTGGTGTCGGTGCCTCGGTGGTATGATCTGTGATAAGAACTTTGGGATATACCACTCCAAAAGCTAGCTCAAAGGGTGAGAGTGTCCAAGACCTTATAAAGACCACATTAGTTGCAGATTCAACCAATGTGGAACTATACATCTCAACACACACCCTCACACAAGAGCCCATTGGGCTTGAAGAGTGGATGATGCAACAGGCCCAGCCTACCTGTGCTAAGAAACTCCACATGTGTTTGGTTCTACGTGTTTTGTTCATCATCTTGGTCCAGGTTTGGATAAATTAGCTCCCTAGTCTCATAAATGTGTTTTTCTGAGTTATCCTCGATCTCAGAAGGGTTACCGTTGCTACTCTCCCACTTTACGTTGATACTTTATCTCGGCGGATGTCTCCTTCTTTGAATCAGTTCCCTTTTTTGGATCCTCTACTACTCCTGTGGATACTTATTTTGTACAGTCATCCCTCCCGGTGACCTTCTTTACCTTCCGTCTTTACTCGTCCATAATTCTGACTCTCCTTCTATCACCTCTTCTGCTGATGAGATCGAGCATAGTTCGTCAGATGTCTCTGTGGACTCACATTCAACTGCACCTACTCCCACGGCTTCGGTCCTACCTTCGGATAGTGACCTTCTCATTGCTCTTCGTAAGGGTACTCGTGATACTCGCCATCCGGCCAGGTATACAGTCAATATTAGTTACCATCGTCTTTCTCCATCATACTTTGCTTGTCTTTCCTCTTTGTCCTTTGTATCTGTTCCTAAGACTACAGGTAATGCACTTTCACATTCGGGATGGAGACAAGCTATGATTGATGAAATGAGTGTTCTTCATCATAATGGCACGTGGGATCTAGTGCCTCTTCCTTCTAGAAAATCTGTGGTTGGTTGCAGATGAATTTATGCTGTTAAGGTTGGACCTGATGGTCAAGCGGATCGTCTTAAAGCTCGCTTGGTGGCGAAGGGTTTCACTCAAGTCTTTGGCTTGGATTTTATTGATACTTTTTCTCCTGTGGCGAAAATGTCTACTGTTCGCCTTTTTATTGCCATGGCTGCTATTCGCCATTGGCCTCTCTACCAACTGGATATCAAGAATGCTTTTCTTCATGGTGATCTTGAGGAAGAAATAAAAAAAGCACAAAAAGGTAATCCAAAAATTGGGTCTGTGCAATTCCACGCTTCTAGCCTAAAGGGCTTTTGCGTGAGGGGACGTGTTGAGATATATAGTCCCACATTGATTGGATGGGCAACTAATATGGCCTTTATAAGGCCTTGGGCACTCCCACCCTTTGAGCTAGCTTTTGGGGTGGTGTATCTCAAGGTTCTTTACATGATCCACCTAATTAAAAGAGTAAATACATTTTTCGTCCTCAATAAATTTCACGTTGTATTAGTCTTTAGCAAATAAAAAGGCTCGGGTGCACTGCGGCTCATTCTGGTGCACCGCGGCTAGCCCATGGTGCACCGCGACTAGTCCATGGTGCACCACGGCTCATTTTGGTGCACCGCGGCTAGTCCATAAGTCCCTAAGAAATTCAAAATAGACCTATTTAGTTGAGATCGTGGTCTCTCACATTCAAAAAAGACCCATATTAGTTCCTAAAACGACTAAAATGGGTCCATTTTGAATTTTTTAGGAACCACGATGGACCTTTTTATTTCCTAGGGACTAAAACAGATATCATGAAATTTATTGAGGACCAAAAAAAATATTTACTCTAATTAAAATGAGAAAAAGTTCTACGGACGGGGATGCCAATCGAAGCATTTAAATCTTCTGTCCAGTTCTACGGACATTATTTCGGTGCCTTTTTCTTTTCTCTCTTAATGTCAATACGGTATTTATCAATTATTTAATGGGTTAATGGATTGTTATCTAAGTGTCAATCCTTAGTTAAAACTGCTTACAACAACCTTTCTAATTTGAATCCTGATCTAAGTGTCAATAGTTGGGACCGGATATGGAGCTGGAAAGGTAAAGAGAGAGTTAAAGTGTTTATGTGGAGGATGTACCATGGCAGGATGCTAACTAAAGACTTTATCAGTAAATGGAGTGGATCCTCTAACTGCTGCCCCTCGTGCCCAGAAGATGTAGAAACCACTCTTCATGCTTTCAGAGACTATGTTAAAGCAAAAAAGGTTTGGTATTTACCTTTATTCCAACCTCTTCCTCTCGGATTTTTCTCCACGGGTTGTTTCAAAGAGTGGATTTCTCTTAATTTGAACGTGAGGAAGACTAGGGTCCAAGACTGGAGGGATTTGTTCTTTATTGCCTGTAATTTCTTATGGTATTGGAGGAATAAAGAACTCCATGAAGATTCAGCTAAAAGACCTGAGGACCCTCTCTTGATCTTTTAGAATTAGTAAGGGAATCAGGATGCTGTAGAAAGCTCAAATTCCAGTTTGAGTACATGAGCCCTCACATTGTGCCCTCCACTGTTTGGAATGCTTCATCGCAAGCTTTCCTAAAACTGAATGTGGATGGTGTTGTGTCCCTTGAGAAAGCTGCTTGCGGAGGTTTGTTGAGAGATTGGAAAGGAAACTGGATCTGTGGGTTCTCTGCTTTCATTGGAAATTGCTCATCTTTACAAGCCGAGCTTTGGGCTATTCTTCACGGTTTGAATTTTGTTTGGAATTCTGGTTGGAAGAATATTATCCTAGAATCAGATTCGTCTCAAGCTATTGGTCTTCTTACCTCTTCTGGTAATGACTCTCGAAAGTTACCTTTGGTAACTAAGATTCGAGCTGCTCTCAATAAGGATTGGTCTGTCTTGTTGAAGCATATTCCTAGGACTTGCAACTCCTGTGCTGATTGGTTAGCAAAGAAAGCTTTGGATGATCCTTTTGGTGTCACCACCTTTGCATCCCCTCACTTTGAACTCCTCAATTTGCTTGCTGCTAATATGCTGGACCCGGGTAGCTCAAGGCTTGCTGCTAGTCGTTAATTCTGTTCTGTTTGTAGTTTCTGTTCTTAGTTGTTGTTTGTAGTTTTTCTTTTCTGCTGTTTTTTTAGTTTTCTGCTATCTGTCATTTGTTTTGTTGTTTTCTGTTCGTGGGGTTTTGCCCCATGACTTTACCAAAAAAAATGGATTGTTATCTTATATGATGTAATAAAATATTTCTACTCTTATAATTATATGTGGACCCTATTCCTTAATTTTTCTTTCTCCACTCTCGTTTCTTCTCTCTCCTATTCATTATGAGAGTAGGAATTATTATGTTACAACAAATAACATAACAATTTATTTACCCTTATTTAATAGCTGATATTTATATTCAATAAACTTTTAAAAATCATCATTCAATTTATATTTGATGAGAGATTTTTAACTATTTTCGAAACAAGAAAAAAATACTTCATATCATTTAATGTATATTATCTCAGTTATAAAATTAAAGATATTGTAAAAATAGAAGATATAATAGTGATTTACATAACTGCAATACTATATATTAGATAATATAGTATACTATTTTTTTCTCGCTATGAAATACCAATTATCTTTATTTTATTATTATTATTTTGAAATTTCTCTGTCGATTAATCCGATTGAATCGGGTAGGACGACAATGTGATAAAGCTCTCTTGGTTAAATTTTTAAAATAGGAGGGAGAAAATAAAAAAAAACTGTAACACATGATGGTTTCCATCGTTCCACGCATACACCCTTTTGGAGAAGAGATTTGCCTATCAATTAGATCATTTTGTCACCACCAGTTTAGAATATGGCTTTGAGCCCGTTTGGATGAGCTTTTTTTTCTTCAAAAGTTGCTTTTTTTAAGAAAAAAGCACTTCTCATTTTTAGTTCGTTTGGATGTCTGCTTTTAAAAAAAGGAGAAGTCACAAAAAAAGCCAAAAATTTACTTTTCTCAGAAGCTAAAAATTTTAACTTCTAAGAAAAGCAGAAGTCAAAAGCCAAACATTTTTTTCAAAATCTAAATATTTTTTATAAAAATATAAATAGCTTTAACTTTTATAAAAAGTACTTTTTAAATAAGAAAGTGATAAAAGTTACTTTTTCTAAAAGCTTAAACAAACAACCTTTCGGTTGTGACTCTTTTATTCTCACCCCCGGGAAAGAATATGGAAGCACATTAGAAATTATTGAGATTTAACCATAGATGAAGAAAAATAGAGAAAACTGAATAATATATGAATAATATTGTACATTGATGTTTTATTAAGTGATACAAAAGGTAAAACATTAATCTTTATTTAAACTAAATAAAAATAAAAAAAAATAATAAAAAAAAATCTAAGAAATTTTCTAAGATACTATAAATTATAAAATATAATCTTAATATTGCATCGGGAAGTAATTCACATCCTTATCTTTTTCTTTTCTTTTTTGGTAAACAAAAAGGGAAAAAATCCTAAAAGAACAACTCAAGTCAAAGCAACCTTATGCAAATTACAGACTAAAGAAAAATCAGCCATATACAATGGCAAAATACCAAAAAGGAGAACTAAAATTACACATATTATTCTCAATTACATGATCAAGAGGGTATTTAGATAACTAATCAACACAGCTATTATTTTCTCTATAAATATGAATAAGTTGAATATCTCAATCTTTCTGTAATCATGCTCAAATGCGAGCCACGTTAATTTTTAATGGAAATTGATCATCTCGAGTTTTATTTAATATAACATGACTATGTCAGAGAATCTTAAACTTTAAACTCATATACAACATCTGACACTAAAGCAACCCCTCGGTTTCCAATTGACTTCATGATTATATCCAAGAGAAATGTTTTTGTCAAATAGAAGGTAACCACGATGATGATTGTTCCGGATGGCCCAACAATTGGCGGTCCAATGGTTCAAGCCCAACTTCAGCCTCCTACCCACGTCAGCCCTAACAGCTGTCAAGGACCCCCCCAACCCCCAACGTGACGACTCTCCCAAGGAAGAACACCAAAATGTCTCATCTTGGGACCCTAACCCTCAAAGGCGACCGCCACAGACACAATAAAGGGAAACTGCCCCATTTGTCCCATGCTGACACCGCCAGGTGCAGAAGGAACAGTGCTGCTATCATAGTAGCGTCTGTCACGCCCAACATTGCCACCCGTAACGAATCCCAAGGAGGGTTGACCCTCTCCTCACCAACCCACACCCGGTGCACATCACCTTCTCCTATAAATAGCCCCCTGGGGCACACCAAGAAGTTATCTTATTTATCGTTATTCTGCCCATTTACATTGAGTCACACATCCACACACATACCCCATTGTTGATTACTTGCTTCATACTTGGAACAATATCACTTAGCTTGGCCTCTACCTGTGCTAAGAGTATTATCCATACAGTGACTTCATCCCCAAAAGGAACATAATGGGCTTATAGATCCTAACGGTACATTGGCGCCGTCTGTGAGAAACTATAAACTTCTATTCCCATTCTCTTACCAAAAATCTACGAGAGGCACATCATTTTCTAGCAGCTAAACATGGTTGTTACGACCAGAAGAGCAGAGCATACCAGAGCCGTTACCACTAAGGATCACGTACAAACCGTCCCTTCCAACTCCCCACCGTCCATGCATTCAGCCCCGTTGAACAAGCAGCAGGCGAGGCGCTCCCCCCCGGTACTGTAATATGTTGACCCACAGTTACCCGCAGCTGATGCTAGAATAGCACAGTTGAATCGTCGCGTAGCCATACGCGAAGTTCAAGGCGAGAATGTACTCCCAACTCAACCACCACCACCAGGGGTCCGTTTCGGAATGCCACTTCCCGCCACAGGCCCACAAACTATCCCACCAACTTATCATCTACAACTAGCCCGAAGTCAGCCAATTCCTCTTTATAACAATCATCGAATCCCTATGATCGCCCCATACCCCCCTGAACCTTACACACACAACGCGGCCGCCCCTTATCCCACGCCTTTTCCTGCTGGCTTTCCATTCCATGGATACGCAATACCACCTCCCAATGCGGCCATTCCACAACCTCAAGGATCATGTATGAATCCTGGCCTGCCACAATATATCGCCCATTAAGCCCCAGCTCTCTCTTACTCGGTTGAAGCCCCGAATGCACCTCGCCCAGCACCAGACCAGCACGCGCACAACCCGAACTTACGGGTAACGCCTGCTAATACTTCAGGATGCAACAAACCCTTAACCGACATCTTACGCCTAACCCCCATACCTCTCGGCTTCAAAGGCCCTTCAAATATCACCACGTATGTCGGTGACACAGATCCTTTTGAATGGACCCAAAAGTTTGAAACAGCGATGACTCTTCACGGCGAAACAGATCTCCTCATGTGCAGGACTTTCCCTACGCTCCTGGGCGGGAGAGCGTTGACTTGGTACACCACCTTGCCGACCGAAAGTATTGCGTCTTGGGATGATCTGGCAGGCAAGTTTCAAACCCATGTCACAACTAGTCGCTCTGTGCCTAAATCCGTCCACTCCTTGGAAAAGATTCGCCAACAGTCTGGGGAGTCCCTTAGATCCTTTTTGGATCGCTTTGACAAAGAGGCTCTGCAGGTCCAAGGCATGGACCCTAAAGTGCAAGTGCATATACTTCTGTCGGGCTTGAGACAAGGAGCGTTCGCCTACAAGCTTGCTCGCCATGAAATTATCGACCTAGAAGAGGTCAAGAAAAAAGCTCAAGAATTTATGCGGATAGAAGAGTACATAGGGAGCCGGGTTGATGACGCCCACAACCAAGAGAATAAGGTCAGTAAAAGTAAAGATCACGTTGAAGAAAGCAGGAAGGGTCACAAACCCTCCAAATACGTCAGTCGCCCATTAGGGTGTGACATGTCAGGGCGCCAATCACACAACGTCCTACAAACGAAGTACAAAGAAGAACGCCAGAATAACTCACGGCACCAACAGCTAGCCAGAGAAGCCACCGTACACTGCAAATTTCACCGTAGTAAAGGCCATAGTACAGAGGAATGCAAACACCTCAAAGATGAGATTGATGAACTTATCAAGGGTGGGGCTCACGGGTGAGTATCAAGCCAAGGGACCACTGATGTGCAAGTACCTTGAGAAAGTCAAAGAGTTGTTACAAACCTTCGAAAGCGTTGAGGTGGAGCACATCAAGCGCATTGAAAACACCAGGGCATATATCCTCGCCAAGTTAGCAAGCACCAAAAGCCCAGGTAACAATCGCTCTGTGACCTAGCATAATCTGCCTAACCCATGCATAGTCATGAACATTTTAGACACGGCCGCCGAAGTCACCAAAGAGACCTGGATCACGCCCATTGTCAACTACTTGTCTGAGGGCGCCCTACCTCCCGACCAAGAGGAGGCTAAGAAGGTAGTACGAAGAAGTGCCTAATTTTTCCTTATATAAGGACAACTGTATAAGAGAGGACCCTCCACTCCACTTCTGAAGTTCCTGAACCCTAACGATGTTCAATATGTTTTAGAAAAAATCCACGAGGGAATCAATGGTCACCACATGGGCGGGCACCCGATAGCAAAGAAAGCACTGAGAGCTGGATTTTATTGGCCAACCATAGAGCGCGACGCCCATGAACACGTCAGAAAATGTGAAAAATGCCAGAGGTTCGCTGACGTGCACAAAGCCCCGCCTGAAGAGCTGACATCAATCACCTCACCATAGCCCTTCTACAAATGGGGAATCGACATTCTGGGTCCCTTTCCCATGGCGGCTGGCCGGGTCCAATGGTTGATTGTCGCCATAGACTACTTTACCAAATGGGTAGAGGCTGAACCTTTAGCCACCATTACATCCCAGAAAGCAAGGAGGTTCTTTTGGAGAAGTATTGTCTATCGCTTTGGCATCCCAAGAGAAGTTATAACGGACAACGGCACTCAATTTACAGACACCAAATTCAGGGAGCTAGTGAAGGACTTACGCGTTCGACACCACTTCGCCGCAGTAGAGCGCCCACAATCCAACAGACTAGTGGAATCAGCCAACAAAATGCTAGCAAAAGGAATCAAGAATAAGCTGGAGTCTCACAAGGGGGCGTGGGTCGAAAACCTTGAGAACGTCCTGTGGGGCTATCGGACAATCGCCCAATCTAGCACAGGTGAAACCCCTTTCAGATTGACCTACGGCATGGAGGCAATGATTCCTGTCGAGATCGGAGAGCCCTCTTGGAGAAAAGACCATGTGACCGAAGTGACCAATAGTCAAAATCGCAATGAAGCATTAGAACTCCTGGACGAGTTCCGAGAGCGAGCAGCACAATCTGAGCGCCAATCAAAGGAAAGGGTAGCTGCTCGGTACAACCAAAAAGTAATCATGAGGAAATTTGAAGTAAAGGACTTAGTCCTTAGGCGAGCAGATATCGGAAATAAGAACTCCCGTGAAGGTAAGCTCGCCCCAAATTGGGAAGGACCTTATCGAATCGCCAACAAGCTATGAGGAGGAGCTTATGCTCTGGAGACACTCGAGGGAAAAGCCATCCCCAGGGCGTGGAACGCTGACAAGCTTAGACGATACTATACCTAAGCCACAGATGTAACCTATATGCTGCACTCTTTTCCTTCCCAGACTTTTGTCCCATTGGGTTTTGCATGGGAAGGTTTTTAACGAGGCAGGTCGTTTCTTTCTCAATAAAATTGCTTTGGGACTAGCTCCAACCTATAATGAATTCCATAGAATAAAGTTACGGGACGGTTCTCACCCCCGCCAAGCGTTGGACTGGGATGGTTCTCACCCCCAGCCAACACCAAAGTTACAGGATGGTTCTCACCCTCGTCAAGCATTGGATTGGGATGGTTCTCACCCCCGCCAAGTGTTGGACTGGGATGGTTCTCACCCCCAGCCAACATTAAGTTACGGGACGAATCTCAGCCCCGCCAAGCGTTGGACTGGGCCAACATTAAGTTACGGGATGGTTCTCACCCCCGCCAAGCGTTGGACTGGGATGGTTCTAACCCCCAGCCGACACCAAAGTTACGGGATGGTTCTCACCCCCGCCAAGCGTTGGACTGGGATGGTTCTCACCCCAGCCGACACCAAAGTTACGGGATGGTTCTCACCCCCGCCAAGTGTTGGACTGGGATGGTTCTCACCCCCAGCCCACACCAAGTTACAGGATGGTCCCAGCCAACACCAAGTTACGGGATGGTCCTCACCCCCGCCAAGCGTTGGACTGAGATAGTTCTCACCCCCAGCCAACATTAAGTTACGGGATGGTTCTCACCCCCGCCAAGCGTTGGATTGGGGTGGTTCTCACCCCTGTTGTCAGTTAGTAAGTTTAACAGTCATATCGAGAAGCAGAATGCTAGGTTATAAAAGAGATTAAGCAAAGGCCCGGCAATGAAGAATAAATAAAGGCGTTGCAAGTTTCATTAACAGTGATAGAAATACAAGTCTATGGTTTACATACCAACCATAGCATGAAAGGTGAAGTTATTGGTGGGCATACAACCATGGCAAATTCAAAAAAGATGACATAAAATGGCCAAGGTCAAACTTGGCGGTCATCCACTGGGAGCTCCTTGTTTTCAGCCACAGTGGTCAGTGCAGCCGTGCCTGCAAGAGCACTCCCCTCACTCAAAGCAGATAGTGACACACCAGCAAGCCCTGTGGTCGAGTCGCCCCCAGTCTCGTCCCCAACAAGATGGCCATCATCGGTTGTGTCGCCAACGGGAAGATAAAGTCATGTTGCCAACTCGCCATGAGCTTCGCCCCAAACAGGAGGGCCATCATCGGTTGCGTCGCAAACTGGAGGATCCTTTTGCACGCCTTCATCTCCCTCTTCTTCAGATTCGGGACCCTCCTCAATCACAGTCACCTCGCCAAAAGCTACCCGCTCAATTATGCGCCCCCTTCCACCTCATAGTCAGGGCTGAAAACAGACATATCAAGGTCAGGATAGCGAACCCATACCTGTTGGATCGCATTGTTGAACGAATCATACAATATGCTCGCCAAGGCACCTTCCAGCTTTTCCACCCGCCCATTGGCACCTTTGCAGTCTCTTGGGAGGCATGCAGGTTCGCAAACACAGAGACCAGCTCGGCGGATAACAAATCTTTGGCTGATTGAAGACTCCATTTCTCCTCTGAAGACTTGTCTACCGATTTTGACAAGTCATCTTTTTCAGAAGTTAGGCGCTCAACTTCTTCGTTGGCCTTCTTCAGTTGTGCAGTCAGAGAATTATTGGCAACCTTTTGGTCGCAGATCACCTTTCCAAGGCGCCCAATGTCGGCAGTAAGATCATTCACTTGTTGCCCCAGCTTGTCAAGGCAATCTTCCTGAGCAGCGCAGCGACTATCAACGGCAAGGGCGATCTCCTGCATGCCCAAGATTCGGCCAACTACCACCTTTGTACAACCAAGGATTTCCTAGCGGTTAACCCAGTCCGGCACCACCATTTTAGGTTTTCTGAGGTTTGGGAAGGTGAGGTCAAGGTCCCTCTCTGTCAGCTTGAGGACTCTGCTAATCGGAATCCCAGCAGGGGAAGGTGTCTCCTGCATCACCAACGGAGTACTGGTCATGATTGCCCCACCATCACCAGAGTCTTCCAAAAGGCCAACCGACTCGCGGCAGTCGCTACCGGTCAGCCGCCTTGACTCCGACAATTCCAGGCGCGGTGCCTTTGCACCTCCGGGCGGTACCAAAGTGGGGTCCCCCCCTCTTTAACCCTGAACTTTCAAATCCAGGAGACACATACCCAAAAGTGGACTCGCTGGCCGACGAGTCTCCAGCCGTCTTTAGCGTGTCTTTGATTATAGGGCCAGCCTCCCTTTTCTCCATCTCGCCAACAGGAATATCTGTCGCAGACCGAATCTTCTTCTTGAGGGAAGGAACTTATTTTCCTTTGCACTTGTCATCTTTCTTGCTCTTCGCAGGCTTTCTAGGCGCAACCGGAGGAACCCCGCCACTGGCGGCCTTCTTCTTGGAAGCCGCCTCAGGCGCGATTCTTAACACCTCCATTGTCAAGCTCTCAACTGCAAATGGGAAAACACAAAGAGTTAGTAAAGACAGTTAATGGAACAGCCTAGTCATAAATGGTACTGGTCACTACCACACCTCCATAACACAGTATTTTCTTCGTAGGCCACTGATCAAAGCACCCCATAACTTCTACAAACCAGTTTACTATCGATATTTCTTCTGGAGACAAGGCCTCATACCCAGAGGAATACTGACTGGCGGGAACCTCATAATGGCCTCTAGTCCAATACAACTCAATTCGACTTTCCCCACTATCACGGTCAACAAAAAAAGGTAATTCCCCCTCCTCAAGATTAGGCTGAACCCAGAAAAAGGTCCCCCTCCAATTTTTATACGAATTAGCATACTGGGCGAATGTCGCCCCCAATACAAGCCCCCATTCAACGAGACCCAGCCAAACCTTTTCGGTGAAGGCGACATCTGGAAGCAATAGAAGAATAGTTGTACGAAGCACACCAATTTGAAGTACCAACATATCTTCACGAATACCCGAACGAACGCCCAAGTGTTAGGGTGTAGTTGTGAAGGAGCAACCCGCAGATGTGCCAACACTCCTATCTCAAACTCATAAAAAGGAAATCTCACTTTCTGATAAGTGAAGTGAGTTTTATACACCATAAACCGCCATTGGGCGACAGCTTCGCGGAGTGGCTTGTCACAAACCCTGTCAGTCTCTTTAGCCACGATGCTTTGCCATCTGTTCTCGTCTGCGACATTCTCAGTAAAGTCAAAATTGCCTTCAGACATGTAAGTTCCCGCAAAGTGTGGACTTGGGTGTAACAAGACCGGGAAGTCACCACAAGGTCGTCCGCCCAGTTCCTCGCCAGGAAGCGTTCATCAGGTTTTGCAACCGCCATGATGGTTAAGAACTTACCCACAAGTCAAACCTGGGAGCGACAAACACACAATCAATCGCCATAAACCCGAAGCAGCGCCTAGAGATCAGCAAAGAGTCAAACTCTGAACCCCCACATCGCCCAACCACTACTCCCCGAGCTACTGACATCCCATTTACCAATAACCCAATCAAAAAAACAACTCAAACACAAGAAACTTACCATAA